AGTAACTTTTAGTGCTATTTTAATAACACTTCCAAAGGGAACCTTCAGAAATAAAACCGAAGTTGGGAGCTGAATGACGAGATAAACCACAAGTTAACCACACAAGGCTGCATGCTGGGAAACATATATAATGGGTTTGAGAAAAATACTTCCTTTAGAGGAAGGGTAGAAAAGTTTCATCCATGTTCTGCATGAACATGTCTAATTCTCTGAAAAATGCAAGAGATTAAATGAGATTAAGAAAGTCCTGTGGTGTGACATCTGACTTGGGTTTAAGAAGCTAAAAGGTGATAAGGACTGATAGAGGTGTAGGTTTGGGAAACAATATTCACTTAAAATAAAATAACAGAACCAAGTGATTTTCATGACATTCCGTTTGGTTAATAGTTCCACAGATACAAAAATACCCTAGAAATGTTCCCTGCATTTCCTTTCAGCACAAAAAAAATACAGTGCGACCATGTGAAGTCCGATTCTCAAGTAAATGACTCATATGATTCAGTTCTTTTTAGTGAATCAAAAACAGAGGGCCACCAGCAAAGTCCAAACCTCAAGTAAATGACTCGTATGATATGGTTATTTTTAGTGAATCAGAAATCATACAGCGTAACCAGTAAAGTACGATTCTCGAAGGAATAAGTATATGACTACATTTTTTATAAATTGTTGTTTTATTTTTATCATTGGAATGATCATAACATTTGGCATCAGAATTGCATTCTGTTTTCCAAATATTTAAAAAGAATCTTTAAAGGAACCAGAATCATTTCGAGCAGGGGTCCTCAACTCTGGACCTCAAGGTCCACTTTCCTGCAGAGTTTAGCTGCGACCCTAATCAAACACACTTGAGCAAGCTAATCAAGGTCTTCACGATTACTACAAAGTTGCAGGTAGGTGTGTTTAATCCAGGTTGGAACTAATCTCTGCAGGAAAATGGATCTAGAGATCCAGAGTTGAGGACCCCTGATTTAGAGGAATCAGAATCATTTAATTCCTTACAGTTCTCATTCTTATAGAGGTATGACTGTCTCTGTAACAGTTGGGAAGCAATATGTGAAGACGAAAACCAAGATATCCCACTTTCATCATTTCCACTGACTGCAGGTGCACCTCATCAGAGCAAGAACATAGACACGCTCTCTCAATGCAAGGATATCAGCATTACTAGCGCCTAGCATCAGGCCATATGCTGACAGATCAGCAATCCTCAGAGTTCGGCCTCCATCCCTCAATGCTTCCTGGGCAGGTTTCCCCCCTTTTTCTGTAGTTAATACGCTTAAATTTGTCAGGTGCTCAAGTCTGTCTCCTGGGCTGGCCCACACTAATCCTTTCTTTGATGATACATTGAACCGCTGAGGGGGAGGGGAGCGAGAGGTCTTCTAAAGGACCGCAGGAAGTCTTAGAGCGCACTGGTCCTCTGGGACGTCCAAAGAAGGGAAAAGGGAATGGACAATAAGACGAATATTGGGAACCTCTTTTACATGCTTTAGCAGGAATACGATGAGCTGTCCGATCCATCTGTTGCACATACATGGATACACGTGCTTCCACCTTTAGATAAAAACTCACAATGCTATAATGTAAACACTTCAATGACTCGCAATTATTGTTCGAAAATACATTTGCAACTCAAATGTTTAGATACAGTGTCATATGCAGATGCTGACAGCTAACAGACATACACATTTTGAAGTGGGAGTGGAACAGACTCGGTCAATACTGTTTCTACCGAGAACAGCTATTGGCTGGGATCTTCAGCTGTCGCTATGGTGACACCACCAGCTTCAACAGCTGCACAGAGACGGGGTGTGTGTGTGTGTGTTTGTCTGTGTGTTGATGATTAATCTGTGTCCACTACTTATCACCCCACTTTAAGTGCTAAGGCCATGGGCACCATATACTGCTGCGTATGTGATCTGTACAGACAAATGGAAAAGAGAATTCACATTATAAATGATCAGCACCTTGAAAGTGAAGACTTTTGTGTTTATTTCACTGTAATTCATGGCGCAAATGAAAAATAAATGCCTCTGTTGTGTATCATGTGTCATGAGTAGAAAATAGTTTAGTAGAATTCAATTAGGTTTGATATATCAAAGCATCAAGGATATTATTCATATAATCAAGTTTGAAATGATTTTTACAGAGAAGCTAAATGAGATTCATTTAAACCATGGCTGTTACAAACAGCCATCACATTCTGAGAAGTATCTTTTATTTGCAAATTAATTTTATTTTTTTATTAATTTAAATAATGAAAACATTTATTTAATTATAATACATATTATATATTATTACATATTATAACATACACATACAACAACAATACAGAACTGGTTTCTCAGATGAACCTGTTTGTCATTTTAAGGATGTAGAGGAGGACAGACAAATACGAAAGAACAGAGGGAATCTGCTGTGAGTGTATGAGAAAGAGAATGAGGGAAAGTGAAAGTGAAAGGGAGGGTTTCGCCCCACATTCCACTGTCATTTGCCCCCTTGGAAAAAAAAAAATAAAGGACAAAAAATACAGCACGAACAGAGCTCCTGTCTGGTTAAGCAAGCAACCGAAAGGCTATTATCGTACCTTGCCATTCATTATGAAAGGGCTTTAGTTGGCAGAGAGAGGGTTGGGAAGGGGGGGAATAGAGGGAGAAAGAGAGAAGTAGAGAGAGAGAGAGAGAGAGAGAGAGAGAGAGAGAGAGAGAGAGAAAGGAGGAATATTTTCAGTGCTTGTGGCTGGCAAAAGGAGTGAGTGGCAGGAGGGATGATACAGAGGACAAACGTAAAATACATATAAATAGGAAAAAGAAAAACAGAAAATATAAACATACACATTTAAAAGATGAAATCAAACAGCTTTCAGAAGAATTAAACATAAATAGCTCTGTAGAGAAACTATATTGCACAGAATGGTGATTTCTAGGCCCACATGCAATCTGCACATTTACACAGAAATGTAACATCTTTCACTAATTTGTTCACATTTCCTGTTCTTTGTATGTTTACTAAATAATTTGGCTAATACGAATATCCATTTAGATACCAAGAATACTAATGGAGTATTTTCAGATCAATTTACCACATTTTGCCATGTTTAAATCCATGACACAGAATTGCGCACATTTTCAGCAAAAAATCTGTACTGAAAATGTGAAAACCGACTGCAGATTCCATCTGGACCATCTACTCAGTGCATTGTGAAAAATGACAGAAAGATGCACTTGACACACACTCACATGTACATACAGTATACACACACTTAAAGGGGGCGTTTATCTGATGCTTGTGCCTGCCTCTGACTGTGAATGCTGACTCCACTCTGCTCTGTTTTCTATTATAGGAAAGTAGGTTGAAAGCCATCTGAGGACAGAGAGAGAGGAAGGGAAAGAGAGAGGGCACATGCAAGAGCCTGAGATTGAAAACAAGAGAATGAACGAACGAGAAAAATTTAAATACAATGCATGCGATTAATCCGCCTCAAATGTAACACGCTGACTTAAATAGATTTTCCCTCCAGACTGCATACATCCACATGCACAGAATCACAGCAATTCAGTGGCCGGTACTGTGGCCGACTGCTCAGTTGGTTTATTGTGATAGATTTAGAGAAATCAGCTGGACTGAGGGGGTGAGCTGCAGTCGGGCATGCCTGGAAAAAATGCTATTTACTTACATTCCTGCTGCTTCCTTTTTTAAATGACAAATAAGCTTCAACCGTTGAGCTATTCTTCTCTCTCCCTGCTCTTTCTTGATATTTCTGCACTTACACAGTTCTTAATGGGTCCACATCCAAATGTAGTCTTCTTAAATGTCTTTGCTGCATGTTTAACATCTGACTGTAATTCACCATTATTAGTAAGTGTTTGTTTTTAGGTTTGTGTGGAAGGACTCAGATGGATGGACTATACGGAAATATATAGGATGCTTTATGCCAGCCTCGAACCTATGGCCATGTGGGACAACGTCTGTGAGAAAGGGACAATGGTGTCTTCTTACTGCAAAATACACAGACATGCACACATGGCCAGACACAAAATGAGAACATCAGATTGAAAAAACAAATTCAGAAGAAAAAGTTTTTGACCAAAGAATTTCAATGACTTTTCCAAAGATACAGATGTCATTATCTTTGTCAATGTTTTCAGTATAAAAATGTCTCCAGATAAAACCCTCAATATACAGATCGATGTTTCACACTGGCTTGCAGTCTTGTTTTACTCTGTACAAGCGCTTACAATATATCAGTATCTAGTCAATAAATTTTTTTTTGACCAGGGCAAAACTTGACAAATTTATATTGACTACAGAGATGTATAGAAATATATTTAGTGTATACTATATTCAGTGACTTTCCAGTCCTGGAAATCACATTTTTATTACTCTCTTATATTTCCAGGTTTTCGATAACAGTGTGAACCCTGAAAAAATATATACACAAGATAAAAAGATCCACAAATCAATTAAACCGGATGGCAGTCAAAATCATAGATTTTCAAAATGTATCCGAGCATAACTTTAACATTTTAGAAATTTTAACTTAAATGGCATTGTACTACACATTGATACACTACACTTTGAGCTGATTAGTTCTCATAATCATATTGCGGGTGGAGTGAGTGTATTTGTGTGTGTGAGACTGCTCAGGGCACTTTGGTACTGCGGTAAAATCTGGGCGTTCCTGGGGCGTGTGCTGGCACTGCAGACCAACTACCATGATTCCGACAGTGAGGGAGAGGAACGGGGTGTGTGTGTGGGAGGAACGGCGTGTGTGTGGATGTTATCAGTGGAGTGACACTTTAAGAAACCTGTAACTTCAGCAGCATTCCTCTACTGCACTACTGCTTATGGACAAGAGATGCTGAGAAACGCAAGGAGCGAAATTTCCATGTCAAACCCCCACGGTGACTAAAGCAAATATCCATCATAACCGCCATGCATTTTCACACTGACCTTGCACCAGTTTCACACACACACAGACACACACACACATACTTGTTTGACGAGGTGGGCTGGTGTGGTGGGTGAAGTGTGGTGCCAGAGGAAGACGAGGGCACCAGAACAATATTCTTCATCCAGCACTGTGGCACACTGCAGAGGAGAGGAGGGGTGCCCGTATACCCTCACCGAAGCTAAACACCACAATACACACAGCATGCTATTACGAACACTGAGAGTAAATGCTGAACCACTTACAGTACATGAACAAACCCTGATCAATTTTCACCTAAACTGAATAACGATTACTATAACAATCCCTGATATGGGAAAACACTGCAATGTCTTCAATTTATTGGCTTTACAGACCAATAAATGAGCCTCAACCAATCAAAGCATGCATATAATTGTCGTATTTTGGTATTCATTTTACTGTTGAATTATAAAATGTATCCAAATGTTATAATAACTGCAAAAAAGGATTACAAGCAGCTATTATGTATTCTGGATTGACATTTCAATTGATAAAGATTGTTAATGAAATGTAAGATTTCATCTTTGAAAAACTGAACAATAACAATATATAGTGTATTAAATATAAACTAATTTTGCAAGGCTTTAGTAAAATGTTTCCGTGGATACATACACAAGAGTTTGTTTATATGTAATATTAGCTCAGTACATAAGATTAGCCTTCATGCATAGTTCATTCTTCATTATATTGGAAGAACATTATTAGTCTTTTGAACATCACATCATGGATCAACAAATATGTGTCCATTTTTATTGCCAGATTGCCTTTAATAAATCACTGGCATCACATTAAAGTAATAGCTTACAATATTAACTTTCTGAAAAAATAAGCACAACTTATATTTAAACTAATATTTCCGCCATAAAGACTATGTTTTAAATGATAGAGTTATTAAAGCCCATATTATCTGAGAAACCCAATACACATCTACTATATCAATGCGCTTTATTCTCTCTCTTTGCCTCTCGTGACCCGATGCACCAACATAGACTATATGCTCTACAGTGTAATAAGATACAGAAACATTCATCTAAGAACAAACCACACAGCACATCCACATACATAAACACATATTCAAACACAATGAACCAAATTATATAAACATTTAAAACACAAATGTGCTATATACTCAATTATGGTTATCCCGGTCAACACTACTTATAACTGTCTGGGTGGGGTGCTGTGTGTACATTAATGAGGAAAAAAAATTAACTTAAATGATTTTAGCAAATGGCTGCAATATAACAAAGAGTGAAAAATTTAAGGGGGTCTGAATACTTTCCGTACCCACTGTATATATATATATATATATATATATCGATTTAGTCAATAAACCAAAAGTATTCTTTAGCTGTATTTCAAGCACCAGAGAGGAGTTTTAATAGAGGTGCAACAATACAAGCAAAGTACTCCAGTTAGAGTTCAAATTGAGTTTAATGAGCCGCTTAATGATGTCAAGGAATGAGTTGTTCATTTTGCTGATTGCAACTCCCTTCAAATGACCTTTTTAGCAGCTTAATATGGCAACCAATCTTTGAAAACAAACACATCATTCTGCATCGCTCTACACTGACTGACAAATACTGTCGGAGAAAGAGAAAGCATAAAGACCGAGACCATAGCTTCATGTTGCTTTTCTTCACTTCATGGGGAACATGCACAAATATAAGGTGAATTCAAAATAAACGGACATCATAATCCCCACCAGAGTCAGTCTTCCAGCTAAAATTCTCCTCTGCGGGACTGTTTAAGACCGGGATTTACTCTTGCTCCCGTTGGAAACGGCGTAGCCGCTGTTTGACTCTGAGAACATCAAGCACCACTGAAGAGTGAGGGAGATGAGCCAGATTTGGAGCACTACCAGAGAGACGGCTGGCTATCTCACTCACGATGTCTGTAGGAACACACATGCTGCTGCGTACACACACAATGCGCTTCTGCTGCAGCCACACTCAAGGTATCTGTCTATTTTATGCCATTAACATCCTGCGGGCATCACACTAATGAAACATACGTTGCTGTAAACAATTGTTTGCTATATTTATATCAACAAATCTCCATGTCGGTCAACAAGTCGCACCCCACACATATAGCCTATGGTCGAAAACACATGCGTTTATTTTTAATGTCGATGAAGGCTTGTATGAGGTCAAACACAATTGTACCGAGCTATCGATGTCACGCTCTCAATAGTACTTTGTGCTGCTCTCAAATTGGTGGATAAAGCACACATGCATGCATAAATGAACCGAAGTCACTGGACATGTCCATCTATGAGGACTTCCTGTAAGGAAAGAAGAATTTGGATTTTAAAAAATGCACTGACATACAAAAAGACACACACAAATATGGGTGCGGAACGAGGGCGTAACAGATGCTGTGGCACAGACATGCACACACACAGCCATTTCAGTGTCCTGACTCACAGTCTAAACATACGCTTTGTTTGGGCCAAACCCTCGATGGCCCAACGTCACCCCAACCTAAAAACCCAGATCTCTCACTCTCTCTTTCTTCATCTTCCATCCTTTAAACTCTTGAATCCACAGGCCCACACTGCACCACCTTCACCTCACTCATCCCTATCTCGTGTCTCTCTTCCTGCCTGTCCTTCCTTCCCCACTCAATCTGCTTCAACGATCTCTCTCACCGTCCTCTCCTCTGGTTCCTCCTGGATGGGCGGACGACTGAGTGCCTCTCACAGCTCCCGAGAACCTATCTCGTGTCTCTCTTCCTGCCTGTCCTTCCTTCCCCACTCAATCTGCTTCAACGATCTCTCTCACCGTCCTCTCCTCTGGTTCCTCCTGGATGGGCGGACGACTGAGTGCCCCTCACACCGCCCGAGAACCCAACCCGTGGACATCGAAGCAGAACGTCACAAGTTAGGGTCTCAGGGAAGGAGAGGGGCACGGTGCGGCACGGAGAACCGAGCGATCGCCATTCTGATGTCCCATCCTTCTTTCCCCCACCGTCTCTAATTCGGCATCCCTTTACTGCGATCGGATACTTTAAAGCAACACAACATAGTTACACACACGCCCATCGGCATGGACTGCGCACAAAGACATCGGATCTCACGCGCAAACACACATGCGCACGGCGGACGAGGACATGCGTGGAGAAGCGGCGCCACACACAGACCCCTCACACCGGCCACACACACACACACACATAAGACGAATTGAGCACCTGTCTTTCTGTTCACCGACTTAAACTGCTGCGGAAGAGACATTCGCATATCCGCAATGAGGTTTTAGAGTATAAAACGGACGAAAAAGACACGACAGAACCACGAGAACGGAGCAATACTGTCACTGTTATCATACAGACACTATCAGGTCACGTCAGCTCTTGTATAAATCACACACACGCACTGAGAGAAGGGGAGTGAACTCACCGAGCTGGCGGCAGCGACTGACCGTGCCTCGGGTGCTGCAGTCCTCCACACGCCTGAGAGAACAGAGAGGGAGAGACAGAGAAAATAACGCTTTTTACGTTTCTCATCCTATGATGCAGAGCAAAACACCACTGGATACAAAAATGAAAAGAATACAAGAAATAAAAAGACACGATAGGATGCTGACAGGCTGATGTCTGCCCACCGTCTGAAGCCAAGAGCCACAGAGTAGAGAGAGAGAGAGAGAGGAGGAACGTGAGAAAGAGCGAAAAAAGGTGGGAAATTCAAACGGCAGCAGAGCGCTGCTGAAAAAGGAAAACGTGAACAAAAGAAACAAAGAATCTGGGGAGAAAAGGTATCCGGATTAATCAGCCTATAAGGACAGAAAACTGAATGGGGGACAAGAGAGAGAAAGAAAAAGAGAGAGAAAAAGGGACAGAAAGAGGCAGGGCCACGACACCGGCAACACACACCAGACTTCTACCCAGAGGGTAGATGAGAGATCAGCATAGGGGGTGGGGGCATTCGTCTCTCACCCTGTGTCACATGTGCGACGGGTGCGAATTCCATCCCGAGGCAGAAAAAAAGGCGGAACATCTGATCTACGGAGTCAAAAAGCGTAGAAAATAAATAGCTGCGAAACGGCTGTTCCTCACCCTCATCATCTGAGTCCCATTCATCTCTCTGTCAGAGCGGCCCATTCTCTGTGCCGTGTTTAGCAGGATACGAATCACATGAAAAATCAAGCTCAGAGAGAGAGCGGGAGAGAAAGACTGGGATAGAAGTGATCCCTTCATTTCCTGCAACAGCTGACACCAGTTAGCGCAAGAGGCCCGCTACCGCCTGAGAGAAAGAAGAGAGGGGGAGAAATAAAAGGAATAGAGGAAGAGGGTGAAAAAGAAGAGACTTTCATCTCAGAAATGTCCTTACCTGTGATCTTTTCTCTGTTTCAGTGGAAGGAAAAGTTTCCTAGCACTGAAATTCCCCTCGTCGCTCACTATTATTCCACTCACTCTTTCTTTCTTTTTCTTTCTTTCCCTCTCTCACTTCCCTCTCTTTCTCTAGCTGAACTGAAGATTGGAGCAGGAGGGAGGGAACTAGAGAAAGAATAGTGCGAGAGGGAGGGAGCAGCACAGGGAGAGAGAGAGAGAGACTGAGAATATAGAGAAAAGGAGGGCAGAGGATTAAAAAAGAGGCATGAACACATGAAAATATGATGTGCTTGGCTCACATTCGATACCGCCTGGCTAGCGCCGCGGCCACAACAGAGGGAGACAAGGAAGAAAACAGAGAGAAGGAGGAACGAGAATGACAGAAGGCAAAGGATTCGGGGAGATGTAAAGTGGAGAGGAGAGAAAAGGGGGACACAGGGAGACTGCGGTGGAGCAGACCTCTGACGGCCCACTTTGATGGGCTCTAATCAGCGACAGACTAAATTTCATATGCACTTTACTCTCACACATTCTATTCACTCCTGACTGCCTTCACAATAATTTCATGGGATAACACTCTTGATCATCTTTACGTGAACTATTTTAAATTCAACGTTTGTTAGCTTGGCACATCAGCATCCTGATATGCCCAGAGCACACTCATGACGCTGTCCGTCATGTGGAAATGGTGTTAGACTTCCCTCTCCTGGACACAAGCAGCCATATATCTTGCAGTCCCGGACACACTGCCGCTCTCTTGACTCTATCCACCTGTAGTCTCATGATTTATATCTGTGTAAATAATACAATAACTCAGACACCAGTTATAGCCAACAGGGGGCCCCCAACTGCACTTTATCAAGCAGGGGAGGGTCAAATACACACTCACTCTCACACAAACACACACACACACGCACACACACAGCTAAAAAAAAATCAAAAATCTAAGAGACAGACCATGAGGATGGTTCATAATATCTTGCTCAAAAGCACAATGAGAAAAGAGCAGGATTGTGATGTCTCAGTCCTCATTCATGCACACACACACATACACGCAAACAAATTCACAATGTGTGGCTGAATTACTTTGGACTAATTTGCCAGACAAAATTCTGATCAAATTCACCGTAAAATATTCTCTCAAACAGTTAAATATTTTGCATGAGCCAGAACAGCGGTTAATACATTTAAAAATGGACAACATTCAGACAGATGTCGTATACATTACCATTCAAAAGTTTGGGGGCAGTAAAAGTTCTATTTATTTTTTTAATCATTTTGAAAAAACAAAATCGATCAAATAAAATACATTTATAATGTCAATATAATGCTATTTTAAATAAATGCTATTCTTTTGAACTTCTATTAATTAAATATTGATGAAAAAATATAACGGTTTCCACAAAAATATTAATCAGCACAACTGTATACAATATTGACAATAATAAGAAATGTTTCTCGAGCACCAAATCAGCATATTAGAAAGATTTCTGAAGGATCATGTGACACTGAAGACTGGAGTAACGGCTGCTGAAAATTCAGCTTTGTCATCACAGGAACAAAATTACATTTTAAAATACACTGAAAAAGAAAATGTATTTTAAACTGTAAAAATAATTCACAACATTACGTTTTTTTCTGTATTTTCAATCAATAAATGCAGCCTTGGTGAGATTTCTTTCAAACACCTTTAAAGGCCAACCCTAGACTTTTGAATGGTAGCATACAAAAATATGCAGTACCAGTCCTCTTCAGTTTAACAAGTGTAATGTGGAATAATCAACCAAAGCAAACCACTCACAACACTGTAAAACCATTGCACTGTTTGGCATCTTTTTGATCAGACAGAATAAACCTAGACATTTTTTTAGCTCAGAGAGTGATGTCATCAGCAAAAGACGTTCTCTGTGTCCCATCTCCTCCTTTAACACAAAAGCATTATTGTTTGCTGCGTGTATCAGCAGCCTTAAGGACATTACTGACAGTGAAACAGATATCAAGAATAAAAGATAGCATATGAATGTTGATTATTGAGCACAAAAGTCAATCGGAAATAATGTTTTAGCAGCGAAAGGGCTGTAAATTCAGACGTGTATTACCTAATAATATGAAATCATATTATTTTAAATCCACAAAAGCGGTAGGCTAAACTGTTTTCTTCAAATTTCTCTTAAGCTAATAATATTTCACCGGCGTTTGACCTAGAGAACTCATTCACAAATATGGACATTTCAGTGGTGAAAAAGACTTGCATTTCTGGAGCTGTTTTTCCACATTGATGGCACTGTTTTTTTTGGTGAAAGGATGCTGAACTCTGTACACATTTGGCTTCAGTGCACCATTTTCTCTCCCTGAGACATTCTGGGAGGCAGAGCGCTCATAACATTATTTATCCACTGTGTGTTTCTTAAGCTGCATTAGAAGTTTGCTGACTCACATTGCTAGCAAGGCAGGAAACGGTATATTATGTATAATAAACTGACTTCAAACATTTATTAAAGCTAGGCACTAAACCATAAGAAATGTCTGGGCAGGCAGCACAAACCAGACATCCATTTTTTGCCTTTGCCAATTTTGTCTTTACCACATTATCATGAAATACATTGCAACAGGAATTCATATAATACAGATAATATAGATACATATTTTTCCATAACAAATATTAGCATACATTAGATAACACAAGTATTAAATATCAAATGACTGGTGATCCAATGATGTAAAAAATTTAGTTGCAGTTGTCATCAGTAGAGGAAAGTATCAGCTGTTATGTTCTGTCCAGCAAACAGCTTTCAGATGCACAATCCAATCTATCACTTTTTCACGGCGTCATTTTAGTGAACTAGCAACAACAACAACAAAAAATGCAAGCAACCATTTAGCTCACTCCTTACATACATTCTCTGTAAGCTGTAATTTTGGTTTATTTCAGTAAAGTCATATGAGGACAGTTTAGAGACCTTCATACTTAAAGTGAGAACGTTACTGCTAGACCAATGAGTCATGTTTCATTTTCACACGCTGATCCATTCATTTATCCACTGACCTAAATCCCAGGATCAACCAATGTAGAAAACAAGCTGTTAAATTAAACAACTGGAGCAAGAGTGACCGCTTCCTCAAATCACTGTGTACTGCAAACTTAGTTATATGTTGAAAATTGCAGCTCACTGTGCTATTGAAATTGTCGCTTAAATGATCATCAGACATTTCTAATCTTAATGTTACTGTTTGCATTTCAGTTTTTATTTGGAAATTAGCAAATAAAGACTTGACCTCCAAATCAATTTTTCAATTTTTGTCTGTACCGGCATATCATTTCCGCATAATATACACTCCCGTTCAAAGTTTTTTAATGTTTTTTTTTTTTTAAATAAGTCTCTTATGTTTCACCAAGACTGGATTTATTTGACCTGAAATACTGTAAAAACAGTAATATTGTGAAAATAATATTAGAATCTAAAATAACTGCTTTCTATTTTAATATATTTTAAAATGTCATTTATTCCTGAAATAGAAAAGCTGAATTTTCAGCAGCCACACGATCCTTCAGAAATCAGTCTAATGTGATGATTTGTTGCTTGACAAACATTTCTTACTATTAATCAATTACTATTAATCAATAATAGTAAGAAACGAGAAACAGTTCTTATTATTAATAAAAAAAAAAACAGTTGTGCTGCTTAATATTTTTGTGGAAACGGTGATACATGAATATAAAGTTCAAAACAAAGGCATTTATTTGAAAAAAAAAATCTTTTGTATCATTATAAATGTCTTTCCTGTCATCTTACTGACCCCACATAAACGGTGATACATGAATATAAAGTTCAAAACAAAGGCATTTATTTGAAAAAAAATTTTTTTGTATCATTATAAATGTCTTTCCTGTCATCTTACTGACCCCACATTTTTTAACTGTACTGTAAATATTCACAAGCGAAGCCTTCAGCAGTTTGGCATTTACCATTCTTTTGTGTTATAAACTGCTTTGATAAATATACACAATTTCTATGCACACAGACATGCTTGCATGTGTACTACTGGATCAAGCAGAAATTTACACTGAACATAACCAAAAACACTGATATCAAACATCTGTGTCAAACCTCACCATGGCACAGACAAACTGAAAACACCATACAAAGACACTGACTGGAACAACACAACACAACATGTTCACGATAGGAGTGTCATTCACAGCTATCTGCATACAGACTTCCATGCGCTCAGATATTTTGTCTGAAGCAGTGACTGCAGCTGAACCTGTGGCACACTGAAGATGCTGCTTCTTACAAATTCAGTGTGGCACCAGTCGCTATTTTAAATTTGTTTTTACCATCATTTCTGGTCATCACAATATATTTTCCATGTTTTGACAAGAATAGCCATGAACACACAAAACCAAATATTTGCCCTAAAATAGCCATTGCAACAGCTAATGTCTCAATAGTATGACATTACAACTCTCAAAATGCACAGTTCGCATGCTGATAATATAAAATAGAAACATATAGAAACTGTAATATAATACAAGCAGGTAGAAAGTTAAACATGTTTGCTAATTATAATCTTCAAGTACCAACAGTCTACAACCTGTACCTTTAAGGTAGATATATATCATTGATACCACTTTAGGTAGCGCTTACGCAAAAAAAACAAAAAACAAAAAAACAACAGACATTTTTCCAGTTTTAAATGTATTTTCTAAGCAGGAGAGAAACGCAGTACAATCAATGGTCAAATAAAATCCAGAAGGAAATATCAGAGAACATAAGGCTTTCAAGTTTCCATGTGTATTTTAAGATATGGTGTTTGTGGTGCAGAACACTGTAGGATACCATGTTAAACATATTGTTGCAATAACCGTGTGGTCTTTTGATAGAAATGAACCAAATGCTGTTTTTCATTAAATGCTATATGCTTGTAGATTTGTGCAACTACTTCCATGCTGTGCTACTATAAATATAATCACAGCTATGTGATGAAGCTTTAAACAGAGAGTGAATTACACATAAGGAATGGTTTGAATGTTAAATTATGTACATATAGGCTGTACTGAAACTAGGAAATATGGATGTGGTCATTCTGGCTACAGGCCTGTTCACACCAAGAACGATAACTATAAATATAACTACAAATACATTAGCGTCCACATGCTAATATATTTTTCTGTTTTGATAGCGTGCTCTGCAGTTCTGTCATCTGCTGCTTTAAATGCTTGAGCTCTGGGTGGATTCTAATTGGCTGTCAATATTTTTAGCATTCATCAGCTGGAAAAAATCATTCTGAAAGTGATTTCAAAGATATTGTTCCCCTGTGTTGTATTTGTTATAGGTGTGGTGTAGATTTCCCCATTTACATAAAATTCAAATGATTATTAAAACTTCAGTTACAGTTAAATCAAAATGCTACATTTGAATTCTGTCTGACATTCTTTCAAGGCCTTCACACATACAACGCTGATAATCACCGCTGTACCGCTCTAAGCACATCAGGGGAGCATGTTAGTTGCAATGCTAGTTTGTTAGCATTAGCATTGCAGAAGGGCGTCTGCTCGAGGAAAGCTAGGAGGCTGTACAGTTATCTCCCATGTTGTAACTCTAAACTATACAACCTACTACCTCATCCCGAAACATCGCATTAATAGTTGAGAGGAAGGACAGGAGAATGTCCCCGCTGCTTACATTAGTGCATACGCAAGCAGCCAAACCTCCTTTACTTAATGTTAAAAATAGATGCAATCAATTTATGCTAATAAGCAGGTGTAAACTTTCATGCTACTGTTTAAAACAACCTTATAATTTTAAAGCTTCAGCTTCAACTCTGAAAAAAAGTTTCTAGTCAGCGTCAGTGGCTGCAGGAAAGACTGTTGCGTTCACCTCGCAGACACATACCTATAGACACAAGCTTGTGCACAGAGTCACCACAAGTTCGGATCTACGGGTTTGTGGCAGCTGGCATCACTGCACTGCGTCACAGCTACACCAACTCCACCTTTCACTGGACGAAATGCTAATTCTTATGACTGTTGTTTTTCCTTTATTTCATGCACCAATTTCAAAACAGTTTAGCAAACCAGTTTAAAACAAAAGACAGATACAGATGCCCGTGTTTGGAAGTTAAGTACTTTTTGAAGAGATATAATGGCCTCGCCATGTAATACAGAGGAAGAAGATCATTATATACTGCACAACACCTGAAATTCAGGAAAAGGATAGATAAAAGATAAGATTAGGAATGCAAAAACAGAGGAACTGATGCTGTAAAATAAGTGGCTATATATATATATATATATCTCGAACAGCAACTGAACACTGAGAAAAACTATGCAAATAATCCAGAGACCTAGATTATTTGCACAACAAGTGTACAACAACATAAGCAAAATGTAAGTGAGAGTGGAATTAATGTGGTCAGTTTTACATCCCCAAAAAATAAAAAACTTAACAACTTTACTCCACTGAGGGAAGAATATTGCTAACATACAGAATAAATTGCTTTGATTCGATGAGTCAAACGACTAAAAAAAATCCTAAATATCACTGAAACTTCAACTGAAGTAATTAATCAAATAATCTGATGCAGAATTATTGGGTGTGGTTCAATGAGAAATAACTTTTGAGTATATCGATTAATAACTAATTAGAGAAACGATTAAGATGGGATCTCCCACCAACATTTAGCACCATAAATTCCTTGTATTTCAAATTACTACCATTTTAAGGTACATCCTTTAAAGCAAAGGTCAGATTGAAAGACAAAGGTAGTGTTTGCTGCGCCCAGATCAGACAACACTGCTACTGTTGGATCAAATACACAGCAGTGACTGACATTTGAGAATGCAGCAATAGCAGAAATGCTTTATTTATGTTTTAATATCTACACACATATAGTGTACAGCAACTTGAGTGTGAGTATAGAAATAGTAAGTATAGGAATTTTAGTAATAAACTTTTGAAACAGTTTTAGTTAAATATATATTCTGCGCATCAAATGTATTTTTTGATTACCCATTACTGCCACTTAATACACAGAAATAAGAAATCACAAACTCTGCACAAATGGCTTTCCCAGTATGCACTACAAGTTGTAGGTGCAAAAAGCTGCAATTAGAAATGCCATGATTCATGGTACAGTGCCGCTCCCTAAGGGCAATCAAAGGTTATTCCAGAACAATAGAGTAAATGTTAAAGATATTTACATTATAATTTGACCTATTTTAACAGTGTAATATATTTCTGAGAACTGCCAGACAGAAAGAAAATAAGTTGTTGGTGGAACGAAATCTTGAACATACATACAGTACACAGTCTCACATTTCAAATGTGTTTCCATGGCATCGTACGACCACTCAGAACCCATTGCTGTTTTTGCTTGCTGATTTCTAGGCACTGGAAACGAATGAATTGTGACTTGTCAAACAGTATGTGCACAAAAATACCTGACAACAACCGAACCAGCAAAATGACTTTTTTTTAAAGTATGTTAAATATTTGAACGCAACTGGCCTACATTTATTTCGGAAATGACCTTAACGTAGTGGTCTAGTATTTCTTACTTAAAATCAAAAGGTAAAATATATATATAAAATGTTTGCTTACGAAGCAAAACGGAATGTGGACAACTGTGGGTTTGGAGCTTATTTTTACAGCAATGCGGAGAGCTATCGCGACTTTTAAACTAACAAGAAATGACACGACCCAATCAGAAATAAAATGCAGTTTAAAAACACGTCCAGAAAAAGTTCTGACTGAAAAAAGAACTAAAAGAGCGGACAGAAGAAAAAAGGGCATAGGAAAGTAGCGTACCAGTGGAGGACTTCTGTCAATGGTGCTGACCATTTCGATGTCCATACCGGAGTCAGCCTACACCTGGCGGCAATATGGAGTCAGGCTTAGGGTGCAGACTAGGCCAATTCCGTTGCCCACAAAAAATCTGGAGCAGAAAAGAAAGACAGCACGTTAGAAGGAAGTACAAAAGTGCTCATTCACATGATCGAACCATTAATACACAAACACGTCCTGACATGAAGGAAGAACACATGCAGCACCTACAAACTCGAAAAAGAAGCCAAAACGGCATCCCTTGTTCAACCAAATCGCCAAGTCATCGGTAGACAACACTGAAAAAGCCCCCGTCCCCTCTTTCGCCCTCCTGTGCGGCCAGTCCTATCCGTATTTACCGTGGAAAAAACGAAAACCCTCAAAAATGGGTCAGAAAAGGTTCCGTGAAAGACTGAGAAGAGAAGGCGGAAAGGTTGAACGCAGTGAGATGTGGTCGAGGAGGAGCTGCGGCACTGCCCTGGCTACAGGGAGAGTGGAATTTGTGACCATGCAAAGGAAAGGGTGGTGTTTTCTTTTTTCTTTTTCTTTTTTTTGGCGCTTCGCTGTGCTGGGGTTTTTTGGATCTCAGCAGGGTCCTTGGCTGCAGTTCTGACTCCCCTTAGAGGTGCCAAAATGAGGACGTTTCCCTTTGTCTTAAACTCCCATGAATAAAACTAACTGAGGGGCGATTAAAAACAAGCCATGAACGGATTGAAACAGAAACAAACTGACAGAGCAATGAAATAAAGCTAGAAAATGTTACGAAAAAAGTTTATAACGAAGAGAAGCAGATACAGAAAGAGGAGTAGAGCGCAGTGCAGAAAACAAAAAGCAGCTTTACGGACGACAGAACAGTCTAAAGAATGAAAAAGGACTGCTTTCACACCACATTTCTCTTTCTCCAAATATGCCATCTCTCCATCTACGCGAGCACCATGCTCTCTCTCACTCCTACTCCTCCCTCCTTCCTTCCAGTCGGCGTCCAATCCACGCCACGTAGTGAGAGAGAAATAGAGATACACTTTTTTTCAACCTCATCAAAATGGCAGAGACAGAAAGTTACAAGCAAGAGAGAGAAAGAGAGCACGGCCACGGGAAGCAGACCGATCGCTGTATCGTTTCTTTCTTTTTTAAGAGACAAACTCACTCGGATTAACAAAATGACAGCGAAAAATAGTTTCGCTATGCCTGATGATCAAATATAGTGCCCGCTGCAGACAGGGAGCTGTGCCCGCCATGTTAAACGGATGCAATTAATAGCATTTTGTATCTGTGTCTGTCCATCCATCGGTCTCTCTGCCTGGGTCTGTCTGTCTGTCTATCTGCTTGTCTCCATATCTATTTGCTTGTTTACATGGCTGCCTAATCCAGGCATTGGCACAGTCTCTTCAATGCTCCCTGTGTGTGTGTGTGTGTGTGTGTGTGTGTGTGTGTGTGAGTCAGTGTGTCAGTTGGTCACAGTCTAGCTGACGTTTCGCCGCTCCCCAGACAGTCAAACATATTTGAGTGCTATTACCTCACTATATAGACCCTTTCACCTACATTATTCATTATCCACCTAAAAAATTTTATTTTTGTCCTTTTTATAAATAAAATACTTAACACAAAAATATTTTCATAGCCGATTGGTTTTCTACATGAAGAAGAGTGTATCCGCCCTCTGAAGTTGCAGAATCACATGAGAATTGCTCATGAAATGGTTCATGAGATCTCAATATGGCTTCCCTTTCATCCTGCAATGCAGCCCAACTCATCTACGGTGTGCAACATGGAAGGAGGGGAATAATTTCAGGGGTGCACATTCTGCAGCCAGCATGTGGTGCAACATCATACTCGTTCCCCGCGTTTTTACTTTCCAAAGTTGCCAAAGGTATGATCAAGAGAGACAGACAATAAGTCTAATTTATAGTATCTTTTCCAATAAACAAACAAATAAATAAATAATAAACATAAATTTAGATCATCTTCTGAAAGACTCTGAAAATTCAGCTTTGCCATCACACAAATAAATTACATTTGAAAATATATAAAAATAGAAAACAACCAATTTATATTATAATATAAATTTTATTGTATTTATGATTAAATAAATGTAGACTTAAAGCATAGAGGCTTCTTTCAAAAACATTTGAAAAGTATTTTTTTAGTGTATAAAATATTAAATACATAGTTAATATTAAATAAACTAATGCTAATAAATATTTGAATTATTCTGGGTTAAATGTCAATACATTAGGTTGACATCTGCTCGCAAACAATTGCAACATAATGAACTCGTCTGTAGGAGCTTATAAGGGGGACGAGGAGGGCACAAAGAGGCTTTTTAAGTCTCTTCCACATCCTGCTCCTCTTGAATCTAAATGAGCAGATTTGACTTTCAGGTGTCTGCCAAGTCCCCTTGTCTGCCCCTTGTTTGCCCTGTGCCCGCTCTTCTTCTCTCCCCCCTCAACCCTCTCGCCTGCCTTAGCCCATGCCAAGATTTAAGAGCGGGGAGTATTCTAATTTGTTGAGATAGTGAGTTGGTGGGTTTTTGTTAAATGTGAGCCAAAATCATCACAATTAAAAGAACCAAAGACTTAAACTACTTCAGTCTGTGTGCATTGAATTTATTTAATACCCGAGTTTCACAATTTGAGTTGAATTACTGAAATAAATGAACTTTTCCACGACATTCTAATTTATTGAGATGCACCTGTATATTTAAACTGTTGTGCTTATGCGCATACAATTTTTCAATTTGGGTCAACTACAGAAAGATTCTTTAATTTCTGTTTTTTTTTCCTCTTTTATCTTATTTTCCTTTACAATGATGAATAAAATGGGTAAAAAAATCTTGTATACACTTAAAAATAAAGGTTCCAAACGGGGGGTTTTCACAGTAATGCCAGAGAAGAACATTTCCCCCCCCCCCAAAGAACTTTCCAGTGAATAGTTCTTAAAAATAAACATTTTCCAGATTTTTTCCAAGATTTTTTTCCCGCTATGAAGAACCTTTTTTGCAATGAAAAGTTTCTGTGGATGTTAAAGGTTATTCATGGAACCATAGATGCCAATAAAGAACTTTTTTTTTTTAAAGTGTAGAACAAATTTGCACTCGTTGTGCACTAATTCCTAGGTGGCCATGAAAAAAAAAAACGCCATGACAGAACAACCAGTTATTTAATCACACAACGAAATTAATCACTCCCAAAAACATCTCAACTGTGAAAACTAGATGTAGACAGGTTTAAAGAAAAGTGTCATGAAATCACCTTAGGCACCCTTACCTATACATGAGTTCACCAGTGGCAAAAGCTCTGGGACATTATGGTTCAATTTTAATAAAAATTTTTGAGTCTATATATGAAGAGTTCATTTGCAAAAACCGATAAACGGCACTTTAAAAAAATTATTCTCCACATATAGCACGATCTAAACCCTAAACACGTCCACTTTCAAGGCATCGCGAGTTCACATTTTACTGCAGAACCCAACAAGCGCCCTTGTTGTTTTTGAACAGAAGCCGATAAGTCCATTTTAGCGAATCAGCACGCTGTATTCAGGTCAGGTGACAAGGCTACTTCCACTCTGAAAAGACATGCTAGCTGAGAGGAGTTTCGTCAAAGTTTCGTGATATATTCTTCAGGGCGAAAAAGGAAAATAAAAGCTTAAACGTTTTCACGGTTACCTGTAATTGTTTAAGTTATTATTACTTAATCAAAACAACCCAACTGCAGTTTGATTGATATTACTTGCAATGCGCAATAAAAAAAACGTGATTTCTGGAAGAAATAAAAATGGAGTTATCGGTTTTTGCAAATGAACTCTACATATATACCCAACAAGAGGGCAGGTCTGTTGAATAATGTCGTCTTGTGCTCAATGGCTCCAAGCCTGTTTATTGTGACATACCGGTGAGGTCTTATTGGTTTTCAAAGAAAGAGCCCTGGCAGTGGTTTTGAGAAGTCAAATCATCTGTAGCCAGAAGAGAACAATATAAGATAGAACACCCACTCAGCACAAACACAGTATGGAAGAGAGATACAGATTAAGTGATAAAGAACAAAAATTATGAATCTGCCCATGAGAAGACTAAGCAAAGACTCGGGTGAGCACTTGAGTCATTAAAACCTTCTGTGTCTTGCCAACTGGCTGCCTGGTCAGCAAGCAAATGACAAGCAGCATCTATTTTCAAAGAGGTAAAAACATGTTTTTGCATTTTTTTTCTTTCCCTATCTGTCACAAAAAATAGTTTGAAGAGGTAGAAGTATTTTTCACTTCAGAAAATCAAAATATTTATATATCATAGCTATTAATAGCTTATATCTTATATGCAATCTAATATTCAGAAACACAACAAATGTAGTCCAGCTTCCAGTAAAAAAATAATAAATTCAACAATGTAAAATTTAGAAACCAATGCACTACACTGAAAAAAAAGATTTTGTGGTGTTGTAAAATATATTAAATTAATCATCATAAATTCTACTTGTAATATTAAAAATCAAGAAGAACAACAATTTTCTAAGTAAAACTTGATATTAGAGCAGTAAAATTTACTTAAAATGTGTTCGTGCAATTTGTTACCAAAATTTTTTTAAGTAAATCTTAATAGTTATTTTTTTCAGTGTATTAAACAAATGGTAAAAGTCAGGTAACCTTAAAATGTGCTTGTCTTACCAAACTTGTCTTACATTATATTTTATACATGATTGGAATCAGTCAGTCTGACTATGTTGAAGTAATTTTACATGTTACCCGATTAGATCAGGTAGCTTCTTTACTTTTAACCATATAAATTATACAATTACTATTTTCCTGTTTTTAAGTTTTCTTATCTCCCTTTTCTGTTTAATACAACAGTATAAAGTGAGTGATTAAAACACAGCTAAAGTGTCTAATATAATACAAACAAATATGAAGATAGTTGTAATTGTGTGCTGGTACTGAATTCATTCACCGCTTTCCTTTCTTTTTTCTTTCCCGTTCTAGGTTTCTCTCATCTCTCTGTCTGATATTCTCCTCATGTGCTACTGCGGCACCCACACCCCAGTCCTCCCTATTAATCTACCACTCAGATACACAGCGTTGTCACTGTCTTCCATTCCCAGGATGCACTGCCACAGAACTTGAGTAAAGAGATTTCCAGACTCTTTACTGTAAAAGACAGTGCCAGTCCAGACTTGGTGTCATGAACTACTAATCTCATCACATTTTCATATCA